GCCACTCTAAGTATGGGGATATCACCGTATACCACTATAGAACTATTACATGCTAGAATTTTGATATTCTACCTCATATTTTGAATGCATTATTTTATGAATAAAATACAGTAGGCGTAGTTGGATAGTTATTCTTGATTTGGGTTCTAACTAAATATAAGTGTATGTATTAGCTCAAAAGTATTGCTTTTGTGGATCTTAGGTGGTGAGAACCGCCTCTATTTGTAAATATCTAAATTAAGTATTTTTCCCGTACCACACGATAGTTCACCTTATATTGTTTCCAAGCAACCTAAGGTCTGTTTAGAGGTCTAAATTTAAACATACTGTTCTTTTAAGTTCGTACATATATGGACTTTGGAGAAGATAAATGAGGACTCCAATGGTTTTTGCTGGATACAAGTCGTTTTCCTTTGGCAGTTAAAGATTTTGAAAGACAACTCAGTGCGTTTTTTAAATAATTCTTTGTGTTATTTCATTAATTTCTATATTTTATATTTTTTAATGGTTGATTAAACATCTCATATTTGAATTTCATTGATTTATACTTGTTCTAAAAAACATTTTTAACGCAAATAACTACACAGTTTCACACAATAAGGATATGATTTTTAAAAATTACAATTGAAAAATACTTAACACGTGTTCTTTTTAACAATAAATTCCAAAAAGCAATTAAAAAATAATTTGAAACCCCCAACGAAATTAACTGGAAATTTCAACATGCAAAATACTTCATTGACGAGCAAATTCTGACGAAAAATAATAAAATGCAACAACAAATGCACCAAAATTTTTACTTTAATGTTTTTTTCTTGGTTTTCCCATTCTACACAATCTCTATTTTCAATTGGAAAACATAAATTTACTTTTTACCTTTTTTTTTGAATTTTATTTATGAACAAAAAACAAAATTCTCTTAAAAAAATGTAGGCAAAAAACTTAGTTGATTCACTGTATTTTACATTAAAAACCTATGAATTTTACATTAGCGTGTCATTGGACAAATGACTAAATCTAATCTTATTTTTAGAAGCAGTATAAATTCGACATTTCGATGTCATAAATAAACCACATTCTTTCAATGACACGCTTACGTAATTTTCATCGGTTTTTCACCAAAATTTGATGTACTTCGAATATGTTATTTGTAGTGACTATTCGCGCCTCTTTCATCACTTTTAACTTGTTTTTCATTTGTAAGGAAATATCTGGTTTATAAAAGCGAAAAATATGTAATCCCATTTTTTAATGTGATTAAGATGTCATTTGTAAAGTATGATATCAATTATTTTTTTGTAGTCTTAAAGTAAATGAGCGATATGTGTTATGGTATGTGAACAAATATAACCAATGGTGGATATTTCTAAAAAGTATGAAAGAAATCGTTAATTGCGAAAAATATCATTTTATTTTTTGGACTTGTTAACTTCACCAGTCTTATTGCGAACTTCGCGTATAACGAACAAATTTTAATAGTAACCCGATTATAAACGAATTTGACTGTATATGTATATAAATTTTTAGGCATATGAGATTAATGTTAAAACTTGCTGCATGGTTTTGAGAAATGCATGTAGTACATTAATATGCATGTACATATGTATGTACATACATTTAATTTTATTTAGATCAACAGATACATAAGAAGTTTGTTAAATTGGATTGAGTTTAGGCAATTACAAGTTATTGTTTAAAAAATAAATGACTGTGTTGAAATGTGATATGTACACTGAAAATAATCCATGTCTAACATATAAAAATGTCTCATAAATTCTACGAAATGTTTTGATATTTCTTTAATATTTTACTTTCAAATGGTTTTCGTCAAATAAAAAAAATTTCTTAATATCTACGAAAAAATATGTTAATTTGTATGCATATAGAAGTGTGCGAAGATATATATTCCTATTTAATTATACAGTTAAATATATATGTATGTACATATGTATGCTTTTAGAAATCTATATATATTGACTGACTGATTCATCATCGCACAGCCCAAACGGCTGAACCTAGAATCATGAAATTTTGACAGTAGGTGTATTTTTGGTTAAGTAGATCCACTAAGGAGAGATTTTTGGAAATTTGTACATTTACCCCTAAAAGAAAAAAACTGGTAAAACTGGGTTTCTTAATTATTTTACACAATATTAATGATATTAAATGTACCTGTATCTACTCTTAAAATGATCAAATGGGTGTCTGGTACTTTTTTGAAATTCGTAATTTTGAGGGTTAAAAATGTGTAACAAAGGTGATTTTGGTACCTTTTTTGGCCCTTTATAACTTTTTAACTAATAAACATAATACAATTTTTGTAAATATTTTGGATATATCTTCCAAAATTATGAGACACCTATTTCGCACTTTTTTAAAATTCAGTCCTTTTTGGGTGTAAAGGGAGAATTGCATTTGGTATTGGTACTTTTTTCAGCACATTAAGAAAACTTTTTTGAGTTATTGACGTATACCTATTAAATTACGTAATAACTTTGTAATATTTATTGAAACAAAATATTTGCTATTTCACTGGGGAAAAGTACCAAAATGGGAAAAAAGGAAATTTTAATTTATTCAATTCAAACTAAATGAGCCAATTTTTAAAAAATTTAAAAAAATAGTTAATTTACTCACACAAAATAAGCTATTGGTATATTATTTTGGAATTCGGGTACTAAGGTCTATATAGGACTAAATTCTGGTAAATTGTTTGGTACTTTTTGTAATTTTCATTTCTTCAAATAGTACCTTTTGGATTCTCTATAATGGGGAACCGAAACACATGACATGTGAAATATGTGGAAGCTAAACGATTAAACTAAAAATACACGTTCCTTACTGAATGCGAATTTATTCACGTGATAAATTTCGATAATATTGAATATAAAAACAGAAAAATTAAAAAAAACGTTTAATCAATTAAAATTGTCTATAAAAGTAATACAAATTTTGTATGTATATATCTATTTAATTTGGGTTAGGGTAGCGAAGCACCCGGGGTATGCTAGTTATAGATATTTACGTTTAAAACACAGTTAAAAATGGGCGTTTTTAAACAGAAATTAACAGTAAGCTAAATTTCTTTACCACTGATATCAAACCGAATTTGCTGAAATTGTGCAGAACTTAGATTCGAAAATTAAATAATCACTAAATCATAAACATTAAATTAAATTTTTGAAAATTCGAACTGCACTTGATGAAAATATAATATTATGTCCAATTATTCGAAATTAAGTTTGAAAATTTGAAAAAAATTTTATACTCTTAAAATATTTTCTGAATCATAATTACTAAAAAAATGCAACAAAACGGACAATGCAGAACTTAGATTCGAAAATTAAATAATCACTAAATCATAAACATTAAATTAAATTTTTGAAAATTCGAACTGCACTTGATGAAAATATAATATTATGTCCAATTATTCGAAATTAAGTTTGAAAATTTGAAAAAAAATTTATACTCTTAAAATATTTTCTGAATCATAATTACTAAAAAAATTCAACAAAACGGACAATGTTTATTGATGTTAGGATATAATACTTGTAAGAAAATGGCGTTTTTATAACAATAAAATATTTCATTTTATTTAGGCCTCTTCTGTAAAATTTAAAAAAAAGTGTTGAAACGCCCTTTTTGCATTTTAGGTGACGGTATATTTTTGAAAAGGGATATCTATGTCTAATGATTAATTAACAGTTTTTATTTTTTCCCTACACTGAAAATAATCCATGCCTAATATATACGAAAAATGTCGTACATTGTACGAATCTTCCGTTGTTTCGCATTTCGAAATATTTTATTAATATGAACGAAATATTTTAGTATAATGCAAGATAATCTTAGAAAAATTAATTTACATAAATTGTAAAATTTGAATAAATGTGGTAAAATTTACGAAATATTATTTTATGCAAACAGTTTTGTTCATTTTAAATTAATTTTTCTAATTTTAATTAACAATTTATCATCCACACGAGTTTTTCCTTTTTATGAAAATAGTTCGTGAATTACATTATACCTTTTCTTAAATTTTATAAAAAATGTAGTAGTTTTATTTAATAATAATATAATTATGCTTAATTTCGCTTGTAAAAAAAATTTAATAACATTACATTTAGGGCTTCCTTAACCCATTTTTATCTTTATTTAACAATATTCAATAACCTAGCCTATTGGCCATAAGCGGGTACAAATTTTTACTTAACAATGGTTCTTTCAAGACAAAATTATATATGTAATTATAAAAAAATTCAAAGAACTGAATTATTTAAAAAGATAATAAACTATATAAAATTACTATAGGACAATTAAATTGTACTGCATTAATGAATTTTACCAGATTTTTTATTGACAATTTATTTCAGAATTAAAAAATTACGGATCGAAATTTACCCTCATAATTCATTTCTAACATTCTATTTTAATTTTTTTTTCGAAAAACTCTTGGAAGAATTTTCAATACTTTTGTGACAAGAACATGTTGTTAGAGTGTTGTGACCAATAAAAATTTTTTCTATAAAAAATAACTAAAATTCTAAATATTACACTTTTACTTCCTAATTTAAAATTTGACGTCCTAGATTTGTTTCAATATATTTTTGGACTAAGATGGCAAAAAAAGAACCCACATAGATTTTATGTCATGTACAAAATCGTTGTAAACTAGTGTAATTCTATAAAAACTCACAAAACCACTTATTTCCGGAAAAATAATAAGGGCTTATATTTGGATCAACTCGAACAAAAATAACCATTTTTTTAGTAGAATTTTAAGTACTTTAATCGATGTGCTCTTTCTGGTAACTTTGTAATTAGTGATTTTGCTCGGTTTTAGTTAAACATGTAATTTTGTTAAAAACATACATTTTTTAGTTAAATATTTCGTTACGTCAAAACATATTTAGGTAGGAATATTTATCTTCACAATGAGACATGAATTATTTAGAGTGCATTTTCTATCGACAATTTCTAAATCTATAAAGTTGACTCACCGGGAGGTCTTTCTGTTACAGTAAGTAAACCTGTACGCCTCGTACGCATTCCACCACCTACACACCCAGTATTTTGAGAAATAACTCCTGTTGGCGTCTGAGGTTTTAAATTTACCGATACGTGAGGCAAGTTCTGCTGTTCACCTGGGTGGCGGGACACGGAAAGATCTTCTGTACAACCAACGGTGTGGCGTTTAGTGCAACCACGTTTCTTCATATATCTGAAATGAAAATATTATTTAAATATAAGCATAAGCAAAAATAAGGAATATTCAGGAAATAATAATTGGGAAGTAATGCTTCTAATAATGGATAATTAGCGGGATTTGAATTAAAATTTTGTATATATTGAACACTTGTGTATATTATATTTATAATGTAAAATAGTTATAAGACTTTTATTTTATTATAATAATTAATAAATCGTCATATGAAATCCAAAAAGACCTAAGTTACATTGAACAAATTTTTCAGGAGAAGCAAAAAACCGTCTAAAATGATAAATAAACCAAAAATGTTCAACATTTTCTCAAGTTAAGCTTATTTCTTATTGACAAATTATTATTTGAAGAAAAATTTGCGGTTTTTGTTTTACTTACGGAGATATGGAACTTACACCCTTGAGAATTTGTTTTTTCTGAAACCCAAAAAGGCGTAAGTTACATTAAAAAATAGTAAGTTTTAACATTTTCAACTAAATTCAAATCGCAAAAAATAATAAATATTAAGTTTAAGTGATAAGAAAAACTATTAAGTGCTATTTCGTTAGTGCGTTTAGTTCTCTCAAGTGTGTTTTATTCTCTCAGAACTCGTCTGTGTGATGAGAATAACAAATTTTGTTTGACAACCCCTTCAGTTTCGCCTATATCCCTACTATATGGCTATAGCTTTATTCAAATTTTGTTGACATTTTGATTTTTCTTTGTTTGTTTTTCTAATACTAAATGCTTTAGTATTAGCTTTGTTCCTTTACTTGTCAAGTTTGCAGGTTTTTACCAGAAATTGTAAAAGAGAACAAATTTGAGCAATTAAAATTATTTTCTCTTTGCCAGAACTTGCAGGTTTTAGCCAGAACATTTTTTCCTGGCAAATAGAAAAAAAATTGTCAAATAAATTATTTGTTTAAAAAAATACATTGAAAACAAAAAATGTTTGATATTTTTGATTTGTTTTCATAAATAAGTATATGTGATTGTAGTTTTTCAATTTTATTTTAATTTCAATAGAAATTTATATGAATAAACTTCAAAACAAATTTATTGAAAGAGAAATTTTGTTTTCCCGTTCCCGTACTTTTTATAAGTACGAAGAGAAAATTCATTAATTCTCTTTAACCAGATAAGTTCTGGAACAAAGCTATTATTTAGGAAAAAGATTTTGAAAAAATCTAAAAAAAAAACAAATTTATTTCTTTGAAAATTATTTTGGTTTTGTTGTGTGAATGCGATACATTGCCATATCGAAATTAGTTAAATCCAACAATTTCTTTGGATTTAATAAATCCAAATTGCAATTGACAATTTCAAATGTATGTATTAATTTAAGAAAATTAGTGCAATAAATAAAAACATTGTACTATTATTTCGAGCGATTTTGTGCAACTATGTAGACAATTTATGTGTGGTAAAAAGCTTTAATACTCTAAAGGCTCAGTTAGTCTCTACGTTCCGTCAACACAAGACGATATTTTGCTCTCCAATGGAGAGTCTCCATACAAAATGTATGAAAACTCATTGTCGACAGCGGTTGTGGTTCCAATTGTAATTAAGTTGTTAAGTGACAGTTATAAACAGCTGACATAAAATACAAAAAAATGTAAACAAGAAAAAAACAGTGAAGTTTTAAAAATTATGTACAAAAAAAAGACCAAAAAAGAAATTAAAAAAATATGCTTCGATAATATTTTTACTTTATATAATTATTTTAATTATGTAATAATATTAATTCATTTATATTAATTAATATAGCTTTAAACACAAAGAAAGAAAATCAATTCTGATTTTTGACACAACCAATCAGAGTTGCTTTTTTTGCTTACGTAGAAACTAACTACACATAAACAGTCACAGAACGGAAACGTTACGGAACTTTCAAACTAACTGAGCTTTAAGGGTGATGGCAATGATAAAACAAATTTACACAAACAGGATTTTTTTCGATTGTGTTAGTGAAAAAACTTACACGCACTGGTTTGATGAAAATCAAAACACTTTTGAAATAAAATCCGTTAATTAATTAGGTAAATCAAAAAAAGTTTAACCAAAGGGTCTTTAAAAAATACTCTTTAGTAACTGGACTCAATTATTTTTAAAAAATTAGACTGGCCGGTTGAAAAACCAAGTATGAAGAGTGAAAAAAAAATTCATTTATCTTTCTAATGAATATAGTGTGGTTTTTTTGTTAAGAATATGAAATAAATTTATAATTCACATTCTTTTAATTTTGTAAAATGCCACATTATTTTTTGATCTACAAAAACTTTAACCATATTATTACAAACTTCGCTTATAACGAACAGATTTTAGTGGTGCCCGGAGTTCGTTATAAAAGGAATAGACTGCATATAATACTAGATCATTTTTAAGACTTTGTCCTGAATATCCTGAGGTCAATACTTTCAACTATTGCAAGAGTATTTGAAGTTAAAAATCCACGGAATGCATTCGTTCAGTTATCCCTTCTAGGAGAATGGATAATTATCCAAAAATTGTCATATTTAATATCAAAAAGGCTAAGAAAAAGAAACCCATTCGGGAAATAATTTAATTTTTTCTTAAACATACGAAAATTTGAAAATAAAATTAAATGTTCGCGTGAGAACTAAAATGTTTGTGAAAACCAATTAACAGCTTGTGTTCTAATTATTTATGGTTTTGGATAGTTTGAATAATTACCTTTGTATTTCGTCAGAACCCTCATCATGAATAGAATTTGAAGTTTTAATAGTTGTTACATCTGAAGAAAATTGCTCATTTGCATTTGAACCTGTCAATTCATTGACACAAGGATCTATGTAAAAGGTATCAGGAGGAATATTGTGATCCTGATGTGTTTGGTTTAGTTGTTGTCCAGTTGTAAAGCAATACGGTAAATTGGCTCCTCCATCTGAAGCTCGACGATTAAATGATCCAGCTAAAATAAAATTTGTTAGATTAATTAGGCAGGTAATGTAAAAATAGTACTTACTTGCACCCATAACGAGGGGTGGTTTTAATAAGTGTTGGTCTTTGATGGTTAAGTAATGTAGGGGTTGATTTTGTAACATGGGTAAATTTATAGGAGGATGGTTCCCAGCTTGTTGTTGATTATTTCGAGGTTCATTTTTGAAGTCTAACGGTACAACGTTAGGGTCTTGAAGTGCTTGTTCATGAGCAACATCTCCGGGTCCAACAGTATGACGTCTGGTGTTTCCACTCACATGAGAGACTGATGTTACGTTGGTGCATAATTGGTTTTGATTAAAATTCTTTAAAAAAAAGGTCAAGCGAGATTTATTAAAATTTAAATTGTTAATAGTTATATCATTATTTTGAGATATTAAACTGTGATAAATATTAGTTTCGATTTCCCCATTTTTTCTAAAATGAAGAATTAATTTCCCACTTACCTCGCTCTGTCTCTGGATACAATCAAGGTCAATATCACCATACTTTTCTAAATTTACAGAAACATCAGACCACATACATTCCATACCCGTTTGATTGACACCAGTATTGTTTAAAGGGCTCAATCGATCTATTGCATCTTGATGTAAGATTTCTGAACGGTCTACCACGCCAGTGGTTATGCTGGTACGAGATCTAAAAATTATCATTTATAAATTAAGGTGTTTTATCTAGCTAATGTGGGAGTAGTTTGTGAATAAATTTACGGTTAATTATACTTTCATCTTACAACAACTAATTCAATTATAAAAAATAAATAAAAAAATAACCAAGATGAAACGAAAAACAAAAGGACAAGGTGACAAGGTCTCAAAAGATCTCTGCCCAAAAACAAGCAGAAATGGGATGAAGTCTGAACGAAGAAATTATTAAAAATATAGTAATATACCTACAATAGTCTTGATCGCCGTTTTGGAAGGTAAAATAAATATCTCACAAATCTGTTTAATAGTTACCATAAATTGTGCTACTGTCCCAAATACTGGAAAAAACTAAAACAATTCCTATTCAAAAGTCTGGTAAAACTCCAAATTCAACACATTTGTACAGACCCATTATTGCCTTCAACAAGTAAAATTCTTGAAAAAGTTTTAAAAGAAAATTGGTAAAACAAAACTTTCAAAATGTTTCTTTTAGATATAAAATCAGCATTTGATTTGGCCTGGCACAGCGATCTTATAGCCCATTTACACTGCAACGAGTACGAGATTTCGAGCCAAATCTAGTTGATTTTAAAAGACAAAAAACAAACAAAAGATTAAATAAATTGGAAAACATGAAGATAATGTGATATTTAAATATCTATTTATTTATGTATTATTATATATTAAATTCTAATAAATATCCCATATTTCCTTTTAATTTTTCATATCAAACACAATTTGAAGAAATTTTAGAAAATATTAAATCTTCCAAAATGCCAAAAATATGAAGAGATTTGAAGAAAGATTTTAAGTCTACTGTATTTTGATGCAGTGTAAATGGGGTATTATTTAAAATTCTATAGTTTTAACATAAAGATAACGATATCGAAAAACGTCCTTCAGTCAAGGATATCTCATCACTAAAAAAAGCTTATAGTGTTCTCAATAAAATATAAAAATTTCAGAATGGGACAATGGGGGGATCTCAAGTAAATCAACTTTTAGTAAAACAACATGATAACAAATACAGAATTTTTTTAATTTAAGCAGTGCTAGCAACAATTTAGTTTTTTCCATCCCTTTCTTGTTCGTAATCTATATATAGAAAAATCAATGTATGTTTGTTTGAACCTTATAGATGGCTAAACCACTCAAGCGATCTTCTTGAAATTTTCAGTGTATGTTCCCCTTTATGGCTAAACCACTGAAGCGTTCTTCTTCAAATTTTCAGTGTATGTTCCCCTTTATCTGGAAGGAACTATAGGCTATGTTTTATTTTGAAATTGTAAGTGGGAGTGGGAGTCCCACGCCCACTTCTTCAAAAGTTGAATATCTCGGAACATAGTACAACTAAAGCGAGTGGCTAGAATATTCAATAATTTGCCCAGCTCTCTTAGAACATTTCGATTTTCTTATAACACCTTCAAAAATAAAATATTTGTTCATCTTCTAAATAATGATTTATAATTGATTTTTATCACCATCTTGCAATTGAGATTTTCCCCATTTTCTCTTCTATATCTATATCCTTTTCTTTCTCTTTCTTTATTCTTCCTATCTTAAGAATATATATATATATAAGATTTATATTGTATTTATTTTTAAACATTTTGTTATTTACTCTTTGTTAAGTGGTTTTTCATTATATGTAGTAAATTTGTTAACTATATATGGCCCTTTGGGCTCAGTTATAATTGTATAATAACAAATTAAATAAATAAAAAATAAATAAAAGTCCTCAAATTTAGTATGGGCAATTTTGACATCCATATGATTATTTGGTGGAAAAATTGGAGGACTAGTAATAGGGGGCGCGGCACCCCCATATGAATTAAATACAAAAATTGTATATCTAGGAAACGCTTAAAGCTAGAAACCTCAAATTTTGCACAAACAAATATGTCATTCATGTGAATATTTGGGTAATAAATTGGCGGATTAGAAATAGGGGCGTGGCACATTCCATATGAACAAAATAATAAATTTCGTCTATATGGGAAAGTATTAGAGCTAAAATTCTAAAAGTTTGTACAGGTAACATTGAAATTCATATAAACAATTTGAAGGAAAAATGGGAGAACTAGAAATAGGGGTGTGGCACCTCCCATATGAATTAATAACAAAAATTCATATATCTAAGAAAGTATTAAACTAGAATTCCTATATGAGCATTTGGAAAAATATGTAGTTGAACTAGCAATAACGAGCGTTGCATATAATCTATAAAAACTAGAGACTAAATTTGTATATGAGAAATTTTATACATCCATATAAACAATTATAAAAATGGATGGACAACCCATAAATTATGGTCATGATACCTTTGATACAAAGTGAAAAATGTGTATAATCATATCCCATGAAATGGAAATGTACAACTTAGAGTTTTGCTTTTCTTTTATAAGACATTCAGTCATGGTAATATTTCATATTTGCTATCATTTTTCAAGTTTAGTAGATCAAAACGTAATGTACAAATTCTTATACCGAAATTGAGTACAATTTTGGAACGTTCATTTCATGTAAGGGTTGCACACATATTCAACACTTTACCTAATTATATGAAATCATTTGAACTTTCAATTAATGTTTTTAAACATAAAATGTTGGAACATATTCAGGAAAATAATATATAATTTATGCCCACACATTAAACATGTCTTTTTATATTGCTTTATATTGTTTGCTTTGTCACTATTACTGACTTTTAATTGTAAACTTCCCAATTTGCTTTCTCGTTTAAGCTTGTTAAAACGTTTATTTAGCGAGGAACTGTTTTGACTTTTTTTCTATGTTTTTAATGTTTTGTTTCTGGTGCAATGAGAAACAAAATTAATTGTAAACATATACTTTTTTGATATACTTTTACTCAAGTTGAACTTATTTTATGACAGGATATCTCTTTCTTCATATAATACTACTTTATGACTTTAACATGTGGCTTTATTATCGTTTTATTTTCCCTGAATTCCATATGGACATTCCATACTGGAATATGACATACATACACACACACACACACACATATATGTGTTGATGTAATTAATGTATTTTTTTTCCTTTTAATTCTAATAACCGTGATCAATTTGTAATTTTTATTTTTTTTTGTTCGCTTTATTTACATTTTAACAATGTTCTAAAACTGCAATTATGATTTAATTGAACAATTTCTTTTTTATAAACCTTATGGGAATTTTTCTTATTTGTATTGTAGAATTTATCAACTAAGGTGTGTTTCAGAATTATAAGAACACTTTTTATTATAATGTTTTTCATAAAAATGTTTAATAAATTTTATAAATTATTTTGGAAAAATTATCATCTTCGAACGTGCTTTTCATCGATGTGCAATTTGTCTCCATTTCTTTCTTAATTTCTAATATTTTTCAAATAACAAGTTTGCCTATGTTTCAAAATTATAAAAACATTTCATTATTTTTTAAAAATTAAACACAATTTTAAAAAATTATTTGCTATACGGCCTCCCTTATATTTAAGAAGATTAAATATTGCAAAATTCACACTTTTTACTAAAGTTTTTATTATATTTTGATCAATATTTGATGATTCCTGAGAAATTCCATTTTTTCGTAAATTAAGGTTTTTCTACAGTTGATTTCCCAAGTAAACTAGATTGGGTTGTATGCCCCAAAGATTTTCCATGGACTTTACATCTAGTTAGCACTGCTGCCATGAAAAGCACAAAATTAATTTCTAGAGTTCTGGCGTAGGACGTGCTGTTAATTTTAATATAAACTAATGTAAAATTTATAGTTATTTTCCCATTTACAAAAAAATAGATAAAGTCATACTTGATGGGGTAGTAACCGCGGAACTTGCTTCATTTTTAAATATTTTGAATTATTTATTTCTGAAATTGTCCAACACACTATTGTTTTAGGCACTGAAACGCCAATCCAAGCTTTTATATTTTTTAAACTCAAAGTTGAACTGTTCTTTTTACGAATAATATGGGGTATTTTTCGCTGGGAAAGTGTTTTCTGTCGTGCTGATCACTTGGTTTGTGCTTAATTATCACGATAAAAAATAAAAAATATTAACAATTTTCTCAATCCTATCCAATTTCTGAGCAATTTGCCTAAATTTTAAAAGTTGGTCTTTTATGGCCGAAATTTTACCTTTTGCAGGGTCAGAATGAATGGCATGTCAAAGACATGTCAAAGACACATTTTTTCTTTATTTTATGACCAATTATATCCAAGATTTATGGCCTACTAAGTTGCATAATGGGTTTTTATTGACTTGGTTTTATAATTATGAAACATTCAAATAACGGAAAACTTTCAGAAATGCAACAACAATAATTTCAAATTTATTTTTTGTATATGTATAAACAGTAAATGCAAAAATGTATTATTTGTAAAAATTTTTTAGTAGACCCATTCAATACTTGAAGCGAAATAGGTTTGTTCTTATAATTTTGAAACATACCTTATATATTTCATTATAATTATAATTGTAAACTAATTTTACTTAACTTTTGTGCCTATTATATTATTATATTTGTTTTAAACTGAACACACGTTAAACCAGCAAAAAAAGTAGTAAATGCATGGGTTGAACTGATAATGAACTGGTTCATATTTAGGGGAAACATGCATGATTTTAACATTAGCGTGTCATTGGCATGCATGTGTTCGTATTTGGAAAAATAGTTCGTCATTTAAATAAGTTCTTATAACCAATGAATATTCGATGATTCTCAAGCGAATTTTCATTGGTGCACTATATTTATTTAAAAATGCATTAATAATGGTATTTCGATTTAGTTATCAATATTTAAATATTTTTTTGCGTGATATTGATAAAAATAAAATAAGATAAAACATAACTAACTGATTTTTATTGGATTTAAATTCATGCAGAGGAAAAATACCCATTGTGTTTTAAAATCCGTTAAGCAGTCTTGTTTTTTTCCTTCTCTTATTAATGTTAAAATGGACTTAATATTACTAGGTAGGTAGGTACCTACAAAAACAAAAATCTAATAAAAAAATTAATGTCATTTTTAATATTTATTGTATGAAATGCACGTTTTCGTTAAATCTCCTAAGAGAATACCAAATTATAGTAAAATATTACAATTCCTATAGTGGAGTTACATGAGTGAATTTGGGTGCATTTTTCATGCCTTCACTGATGACAAATTTATTAGAATTTAGGCATGTATTTAAAACGCATTAAATAGAATACGTACAAAAGAAATCATGAAAATATCCCTTCTTCTTTAACAACTTAAATTTTTTTTGCTGAGAACATAAAGAACCGTTACATAAAGATAAAAAACATAAAATTCTAACGGATAATTTTTTTTAGAAAAATTCTTTTTTACCACAAAATAAGGTCGTTCCTATTATTTTTTCCACCAATATCTCAACCTCCGTTTATTGTTTAACCAGTAGATATACTGCCAGTTAAAATAACTTTTGTATACAAATAATATAATAAAACTGTCAATTTGTCGTTTGGATAAAAAATAATCAGATATTGTGAAAATGGGGATAAATGTCTTTTTTTTTTTCTCGAAACGACATATTGACAGTTTTCATACAAATTTATATATTTTAACCGGGAGAATATCTACCGATTAAACGATAATCAGAGAATGAGATAATGGTCCTTAAGCGATAAAAAAGTGTAGAGAAGATTGGTAAAATGGATCCATGACAAAGAAAAACGAAAACAAAATTTAGAGGAAACAAAACAGCATAAGTTAAAAAAAAAAAAAATCAAAAAATACCTATTGTAAAACGAACAAGTAAGAGTGCTATATTCGGCTGTGCCGAATCTTATATACCCTTCACCATAGTGTATTTAAAAGTCATTTTCATGACTATATCATTATATAGCAATAGCAAAACATAATGAACAACAACAACGCTAAACGAAATAAACACACAAAAAACAATATACACAAGGCAGTAAAACCAACAGACATCCAAACATACGAAACGAAATACAGAAAAAAACAAAAACAACATACACATCGCAATGAAACCAACAGACATTCAAACATACGAAATTCAATACACCAAGAAAACAAAAACAATATACACAAGGCAATGAAACACACAGCCATCTAAACATACGAAACGAAATACTCAAAAAAACAAAAACAAAATACAAAGGCAATGAATAAGCAGTGTTGTTGTTGTTTATTTTTTATGAAATTTTCAGAGGTTGTCTCGGATTTTTGCTTATATCTCCGTTGTTTATGAACGGATTTTGCTGATTTTAAATAGGAAACTTCTCGAAAGCATGTCTGATAGAATTATTAAAGATTTGGATCCCGAAGATATCTGGGGTCTTCAGAAAACTGATTTCAACAGACAGACAGACAGACGGACAGACAGACGGACATGGCTTAATCGACTCCGCTATCTATAAGGATTCAGAATATATATGTATATACAAACGGAATGACAAATTTATATATACCCTTCTCACGAAGGTGAAGGGTATAAAAAGTACCAGAAAGTGCTCTAAATGTTCAATATTATAAAAAATTCAAAAGGTACTCTTTGAAGAAGGAAAAAGTTCCAAGAAGTCCCCTTTTATATGTTCTCACTAAATTTAATCAAACTTGGCACAATGAGTTTGAATAAATTTAAAATTCAAATTTTTATGCCTTTTTGTAGTTTTTCTCTCTAACAATTTCGTTCCAAAAAATTCAACATTCTATTGGGGGCCTATGAATATACATATGTATGTATGTATGTACATATGTACATATGTACATATATTCATAGTAAAAACCAATAAATTGAAATCAATGTTTTATAAAAATGTATCAAAAGTAAGTACGATTTTTACCGTTCAAACGTCCGAATTTCCCAAAAGTGCCAAACTAATATTCGAAACATTTCAATATAAATTTTATAGACAAGTGCGAAAATACTTTTTCTTCCCGTTTACTACTAAAAAGAACAAAACACCTGTTAGCTAATTTTTTAATAAACAACGATATGAGCAAAATCAGACCCGATATTGGCCTAGGTAAATTTTTTCGGATTTGACGTACTTCTACTTTTGGCGAAAACCAACGAATTTTACTTTAGCTTTTCATTGGAGGGATGTTGTTCATTTTTGACAACGTTGATCTAGATCTAATCCAGCGACGGTTTTTATTGAAGTTTTCTAAATTCTGCTGACACTTAGTTGATACACATACACTATAGGTTTATTTCTTCATCTTTCTATAATGAGCAATATCAGTTGGTTTGCTCTCAACTTGAAAAACAAAATCAGCACTTGTCAAAGGAGTTTGACAAATTTATTAGAATTTAGGTATGTATTTAAATGCATTAAATATAATATGTACTAAAGAAATCATGAAAATATCCCTTTTTCTTGAACAACTTCAAAATTTTTTGCTGGGTAATAATTTTTGCTAAACCAGTTCCATTATCAGTTGAACCCATTCATTTACTATTTTTTTGCTGGGTAGGTTTTAATTTATAAGGAATTCTTGTATTGTAATCGCATTTTTAAATGTGATTAAGATGTAGTTTGTAAATTAAATTGCGCTGATAGGAACACAATTTTCAATTTAAATAGTTTTTTGCTTCTGTAAAATTTTAAAAATGTTAGATAGGACCGTTTGCATTTTAGGTGATGATATGTAAGAATTACATATGGACACTTCCATGAAAAGGATAACTAAGATAGATAACTAAGTGCAAATTGGCACATAGCAAACCACAGTGTGTTTACTCTTTTGAAAATTCAAAAATTGTTACAAAATATTTAAAGATAAAATCTGATTTTAATAAAATTTGGTGAAAATTTTACTCTAAATATGTGGATAGTGACCACCAATTTTTTCTAATTCTGATTATAAATATGACCTGTGATACTATCTGAAATTATGGATAGACAGACATTGCACTATGGGTCATAGAACGAGTTTGAGATAAAACGTGTAACAAAGTTTAAGCATATATTAACTGCTTATGAATAGCTTAAAAATTATGACAAATTCGTTATTAGCAAAATCTATAATAAGATTTGAAAATATTATGATACGCCAAATGTTCTTTAACCAAAATGTAGGAAAATCAATTTTCTATAGAAATTATAATAACATTAATATGTGTATGACGCATATAAGCCAGATATTCTGCAAAAAACAGATGAAGAAATAAAACCACTTAAATGTCCATAACTCACTTATAAGCACTAGTATTATCATAAAATTTAGCATAAATAAGTTTTATAGGGATATAAATCCCATCTCAAATTTTATGAGGATCGGTCCATATTTGACCCTCGCCATATAACACCTGAATTTATATTTTATTGATTAATCACGAAATCAAGAAACATCTGTATTTCTTACCTAGCTCTACTAGCATGTTGATTGATTTTTTGATGTTCTATACGTTTTTGTTGTAACTTGTCGTAGAGTAGATAATAAATTGCGTAAATATTATCAAAACGATGTTCGTGTACGGATTGGGCAATTTTGTCTGCAGTTAAACCAGATAACTGCAACATATGAGACATAACAACGGAATCCAAATTAGGTACTGATGTGGAGTTTGTTGTTGTTTGAGTTGAAAGATTCGTTGATAGTTCTTCGGTGCAGTTGATCGTAGTACTACTTTGAAGCAAATTATTAGAGTTCGAATTATATGGCTGCCTCACTTGATGACATTCTCTTTCAACTTCAGCAATCCATTCACTTAACCATCTATGTTTAATTATTTGTTTTAAGGTAAAACGTCGATCTGGTTCAACGACTAACATATTACGAATAAGATGCTCGCAATCTATAAAGAGTAGAACAATTAACACGTTAATATTTTAAGATTTTATTAAATCTTATTGCATCATAAATACCTTGAGACATAAAATAGGGAATCCGAAATTTTCCTGTTACGACCCGACTTTTAAGTTCCAATAAAGTTTTACCATCAAATGGCAATGCGCCACATACCAAAGCATATAGAACAACACCCAAACTCCATATGTCAGCTCTGGGGCCATCATATTCTAAACCTTGAAATACTTCAGGAGCTGCATAAGGTGGCGAGCCGCACCATGTTCTTAAAAAATTTCCTTCTTCATAACGATTACTAAATCCAAAATCTGCTAGCTTTATGTTCATATCTTTATCCAAGAGTACATTTTCGGCCTTTAAATCCCGATGCACCACCCCCTTTGAATGGCAATAATCCACAGCAGATACCAATTGTGTGAAGACTCTTGCGGCTTCTGGTTCCTTCATTCGCCCGTTTTCTACCAAATGATCAAATATTTCGCCATTAGGAGCATATTCAGTAACTAAGTAGATCATTGTTTCAGATTGCATCACTTCATACAAACGTGTTATATGTCTATGTCGAAGTTTTTTTAAAATTGAAATTTCGCGGTACGTCTTGGCAAGATATTCCTCGTTAAGACATGTTTTATCGATTATTTTTATAGCTACCTGTTTAGTAAACAAAAGAGAGTTCATTAGTAAAATTTCCGTTGTTCAGAATATTTTCAATAAATAACACTATGCAACAAATTGTGGGTCCTCGAATCTTTCCCGAACAAGACCAACGGGAAATGAAGGTAGACAATTAATAGGCCCAATTCCACAAAGGGTTAAATTTGATCTTGTATGTATTCTAACATATTCATACGATTTTAATCATTTTAGACTGTAACTAGCTATACCCAGTGTGCTTTGCTACCATAAAAACAGTATAAATAAAAAAGAACTACGATTTTTTAAGATTCTGGTTCTATTACTTTCCCAGTTATTCGAATATTTCTTTTAATGCATATGGGAGGTATGCCTATTGATAGTCCACAATAGGGGTATGGTTTCTCCTATGTTCACATGAATGTGAAAATTTTTCGTGAAAAATTTTAGGATTCTAGATTCAAATATTCACATGTAAGAGTTGTTAGCGCAAAATTTAAGGATTTTAGCTCTAATAGTTTTTCAGATATACTAATTTTATTCATATGAGAGGTTCCATGAACCCCAAAAGAATATCCGCACATTTTATTTCCAAATGTTCACTTTTATGTTAATTTTAAGATTGTAGTTCCAATAGTTTCTAGATAAACGAATTTTTGTATTTAATTCATATGGGAGGTGATATACATACATACATACATACATACAAAGATATACTAATTTTATTCATATGAGAGGTTCCATGAACCCCAAAAGAATATCCGCACAGTAAGTAAGTTTTATTTCCAAATGTTCACTTTTATGTTAATTTTAAGATTGTAGTTCCAATAGTTTCTAGATAAACGAATTTTTGTATTTAATTCATATGGGAGGTGATATACATACATACATACATACATACATACATACATACATACATACATACATACATACATACATACATACATACATACATACATACATACATACATACATACATACATACATACATACATACATACATACATACATACATACATACATACATACATACATACATACATACATACATACATACATACATACATACATACATACATACATACATACATACATACATACATACATACATACATACATACATACATACATACATACATACATACATACATACATACATACTTAAATAAATACGTACATACATACATACATACATACATACATACATACATACATACATACATACATACATCCAGCTAACTTTTTTAAACCCTTTGGGGATTTTGGCCTACTTTCATTTCCAGTTGGTCTCATTCGGGAAAGATTTTCTTGTTGCACAGTGTTTCATTGCTTTATAGAAAACATAAAATACATATAATAAATTTGATGATAATTCAATGAAATTTTGTACATGATCTTCTTTCCATTTCCAGTAGGGACGAAATCGATTGAAAATGGTTACAATCCGTCTATTATTCTTGCCTTGATGACCCTGACGAATTTTGTAATGATCGGGCATCGCTTGACCCTAGCACTCATACAAAGACTCCTTCAGAAAATGAGTTATATCTCCACAATTCGCTTAAAAAGGCCAATGTCGCGGATAAAAACATTTTTTGTATTATCCGACCGAACATTCAGGTAGGGGTTCGCAGGTAAAAAGTTAGGTTCGTCCAATGTTCGGCGAAATTTTGACCGAACGCTGAACTTTTTATAAAATGTTTATTTATCATATTTTTATATCATCAAAAAGTTTTTAAAATGCTGAAAATTTGTTTACAGAAGTTATCATACATCCTGACTGTACAATAAATTTCCGATATACATAGGTACAAAACGCATTTTAACCGTTCGTTTTTTCGGCGATTTGAAAAACTGTTAACCAGAAACTGATTAAAAAGCAAAGAAAAGTGAAACATTTAATTTGAATTATCTAGTTTCGATGTAACATCGAAATTTTCTAGGTCCTTATTCTCAAACGATCTAGACATGTCTGTCAGTCAGTCAGTCTCTTGAAAGAACGATAGGACCTAAACTATTGTTGCAGTTTGATTGGTATTCAAAATGGACAAAATCCGTTTACATTTAGACATGGGTTTAGAAAATTACTAACGCTCATAACAGGCTTAAAAATACTAGTATTTTTATGAAATTATACTTATATTTTTTTATGAACCGAAGTTTCATATATATCGTCAAATTGAATTGATCATGTATAACAATATTATGACAAATACAAAAATATCATGATGAAATATTTTGATGGTATTTAATCATAATATTATATTTTAAAATTGTTACAATAACGATAATATGTTTAGACTACAATCATAATTTTAACCATAATATGTTGCCTTAGAACATGGTTACCACAATCATGTTTTTTCTCTGCGTGCTCTTACAGATAATTATATCATTGTCAATAAATCGTTCAAAAACCAAAAATAAAAGTATTTAGATATATGCATTTCACAAAAAATGGTTTGTTATTAGAAATTTATCACTCTCTGGAATACGGAATTAGTTAATAATTGACCCAATTGCCATTTCAAGACCCTCTTCAAAAATATTCCGGATGTTCATATTTTGGTTTTAAATGTTATAAATTTATTACTTTTTAATCATAAATGCGTTTTTCATTAAAAAAAATTTCGTGTTCACCGAACTTTAAAAACCGAACAAAGTTCGGGTTTTGCCGAACTTTCAAATTTACCGAAGTTCGGCTTCGGTGTTCGGTACCGAACGAAATTTTGAGTTCGGTCGGACTCTAATTTTTTGTAACCGTAGATCCATTCACCAAATTTTATGTGGATCGGTCATCATTTCTCCATAACCCCGATATAAAGTCTATTTCAGAAAATTAGTTTTTCATTTTATTTTTTAGGTTTTTTTCTTTTATAGAAAAAATTTTTTTTGGGACTATATACAAATTTGATATGATCCGCTAAGAGAACTTAATGCGTAAGCGTATAAAATAAAATTTTGCTCATTTAAGCGGGCAATGCCCCGCTGACGCCAAACTCTTAAATGTCAAAATTTAGCTTAAAGCGGAAAAAAGTGGTAAATTTCAGCCAATTATGTGAAAGAGACAAAACCAAAATCGTTAGATATGAACCGGATGATATATGTACGTCTGAAACTATAAATTTAATGGAGAAAAACTGCGTTTTTAGTTTTTCATATTTCCTAAAAATACATAATTAATTTCTGTTACATCCCTTATCACAGAATCACTCTCTGGCCCATAGTGCAATGTCTGTCGATCCGAAATTTCCGATGGGGTCACAGGTCATAATTATGAATATAATTTGAAAAGAATTAGTGGACATAATCTACAAGGTAAGGAAAATATTTATACTTAATTTCATTGAAATCAGACTGGGACTTCAATTAGATCTAATATAGACAACAATGAATAACGAAAAAATAAGAATAAGAATAAACTAAAATGAAATAAATTTCTCCAAAAATGGAAGAAAAATATACAAAAACTTAAAATTTTGATTCTTAAAACAGTAATAGTCATAAAAAAGTAAGAAAGTATAGTCGGGCGTGGCCGACCATATGATACCCTACACCATTTGTGAATATTAAATGTGATTTATTTTTCATAAGAAAGCATTTATCTTCAATGAAAAATTAATTTTTTGAAAGAGGCTTTATATGGGGGCTAGGGGTAAATATGGACAAAGCCTGATAAAATTTTGTGAATATATTTATATTTACATAATATTTAATTTTGCTGAATTTCATCGCGATATTTGTGTTTATAAGTTAATTTTGGACATTCAAGTAGATTTCTGAAGGGGACTTTGTATGGGAGCTAGGGTCAAATGGGGCCCGATCTTTATGAAATTTGGCAGGGTCATCAGGACTTCTATAAAACTAAGTTATGCCTTATTTTATCGATATACCTGTATATTTAACATAATTATGAGCTCAGAAGCCCTTTTCGGGGGTTCTGTTCTATGGGGGCTAGGTGAAATAATGGACCGATTTTAACCATTTTCAATAGGCTTCGTCCTTGGGCCAAAAAAAGCGTGCATGCCAAATTTCATCCAATTATCTTGAAAATTGCGACCTGTACCTTGCGCACAAGGTCTACATGGGAACAATTTAAAAATAGGCAACTATAAATATTTCGGCGACTATTTTCGCCCTCCGGTTACGCCCTTTTTCACTTCAATGACGATATTCAAAACTTTATTGTCAAGAAAGAAATGTAAGGATGATGTTGTAAAAAAATATTTTGTATGTACATATATTCAAAAAAGAATTAATTTTATTGAGTTTTTCATCTCCTTAAAAGTAATTAATAGTGCTACGCTCTTTTGCATTTCAGTTGGCGATATGTACAAACGTATATATATGTTCAAATGTTATATACAGAGTATAAATCACATCGTTTACAACCAATCGATTTAACAGTAACCTAGAATACGCTTAATATTTTTGCCAGCCCGTTTATAGGTATTTTTTGTACAAATTATTTACATACCACATGTCAATTTTTTTAAAGAGTTTGTTGTTTTGAAGAAAACATATAATTGCTAGCGCAATCTTAACTATAGCAACTAACATTCGAATTTATACTGCTTATGTATGTGCGTATACTTACAACATAAACAGTCAGACTATTCAATAGTTAATATCATAAGGACATTTATGTGCTGCGACCTGAATAGCTTAAAACAAAGTGGTGAATATTTCAATAAAAAAATTAGCTGAAGTATCAGTTGTGTCCAAAGATTTGAACATATATGTATATATTGTTAGTAATCACTGTAAATATTATTTACGACGTGCACAACAATTTCATTGACACATACATATGTATGTACAGTGTCTCTCATAAGTATTCGAATTTAATGTATTATGAAAACAGACATCATTTTATAATAGATTTTGTGGGAAAAATAAATAAATAAATTTATTATGTTGTCCAGACAGTCCTTAAATTCTATACCACATTTTAAAAATTAAAAAAAAAAAATATTTACATAAACTAATTTAACTTTTTTTTTAAAAAGTGCAAAAAA